ATTTTGATTTTTAATGTAATTATTAATCTTTTAATAAAATTTCACCTAGAATTCTGATAATTTCTGAGGTAATGTCTGTTTTGGTAAACATGATTTTAGAGGATGGCATTTTTATTAACTCTCATTTTCTTTATCCCTTCTAAATGTCCAGAAATTCCTACCAACATATTGATAAAGTATATTGATACTTCAAAAAATCTAATATGAATAATAGTTAGACAAGACATAGATATTGCAAAGAATTCTGTATTACACTGTACCATACATTTCAATTTTCTTGGGACGAGGTTTACATTCCTTAGTGGTATTCTTTTTTATTCCAGACCTGTAATTACATTCACTGAAGTACTTTAGTATTAGGCACAGCGGATCTTGCAGAATTAGGGATTTCCAGCTGGAACTATCACTGGACTTTCACAAGATTTTTTTTAAGTGAGTAAAAAGAACGAAAGTTTTCTTATGCCTTATGTACAGTTGCATGGTTTTGATTCAACAGTAAAATAAAATAAACCCAAACTTATCTTTCAAATCTAACTCATTTTGAATAACACTTAAATTAGCACCATGTCATGGGACAGTGTATAGTTTTTTCTGTTGATGTGTAAGATATTTGGCATAAAACTGAACTCCTAAGTTTAACCTTAGACTTTAAATAGTTTGGGGGCCAAATTCTCTTCTCTGATATGTTATTCTAAATCTGAAGTAGGTATGCTCAGGAGGCTAATTTGAACACACTGGTAAATCGAGAGCAATATTTATCTTCATTCCTTCATGCTTGAAATATAACTTATCAAAATGTTTTAAAATGTCTTGCTGGTCTCCCAGTACAAAGACAAATTTCAGCCCCCCTACTTGTAAGCTTAGATAGCTCATTTCTCCACTGTCTTGGGGAATATGCATGGAAAGAACAGTTAATGCAAACTTTTTTATTTCACAAGACTTCTTTCAATCTAAGTGCATGGAAGCTATTTTGGTCCTGTGGAAAGTGTTTGGATAAAGGTAACAAAGAAAATCTCAGGAGAATGACGAACTATTCTAGTTCCCCCAACGTGATATTCAAAAATAACCTGATGTTGAATCCTGTCTTTGTGAAAATACATATTTGGGTTCTTCATGAAAAGACAACCATGGTTACACATCAGAAACTGTGGGAGAGTTATGAAAAAGACTGCCCGTGAGGAGCTTTCATAACTACACTTGAAAACTTCACGAGGCACTTAATTAAAAAAAAAAAAATAAAATAAAATAATAATAATAATAATAATAAAACTTAAACACAGATTTCATAGAAATTAGGCAAAGTATATTATGACAGAAAATTTAATACCACTAGATATAATAAGTCAAAGAAAAAAATTGTATTTTCAGTGACATTCTACTAGAAATTCTAGCAGAAGATGAAGACTGCTTTTTGATTAGTTGGAATATAAATTTCTTCTGAATATAGTCTTCAGAGTAAGTGCTCACACTCAGCAATCAAGTCACCAAGAAAAATAAATAAATAAATAAATAATGGACAGATCTGTCTGAGAAGGCTTTTGAACATGCGTGGATAAAAAAGAGAAGTAAAGTCAGCTGAAGTGATGGGCAAATGAGTGTCTTTACAGCAGATGTGGGTGCCTTTCTTAATCCTGTAAGACACATGATACAACTCTTCATCTGGGTGAGAAATACACAACACAGGTTATATCCCTGACACCTAAGGGGAAAAAGACCTAAAGAGTCATTTCCAGGCAGGAGCACAACAGCCCAGTGCAAGTTTGAGTGTCCATCCCGTTTCGGTGGCTGCCCACATGGTCATGTACCATTGCCCCCCAATGAACCCAGAAGACGTACAGCACAGCTGTTATTTCACAGAATCACAGAATTGAAAGAGTTGGAAGGGACCTTGAAAGATCATCAGGTCCAACCCCCCCTGCCAAAGCAGGTTCCCTAGAGCAGGCTGCCCAGGTAGGCGTCCAGACAGGCCTTGAATATCTCCAGAGAAGGAGACTCCACAACCTCCCTGGGCAGCCTGTTCCAGTGCTCTGTCACCCTCACCATGAAGATGTTCTTTTGCATGTTGGTGCGGAACTTCCTGTGCTCTATCTTGTGGCCATTGCCCCTTGTCCTGTCCCCGCAAACCACTGAAAAGAGGTTGGCCAAATCCCTCTGTCTCCCACACCTCAGGTATTTCTCTGACACAGCTCAACACCAGGGCCTGTCCGTGAATTGGCTGCAAGCCACTTTCAGACTGGGCATCACAGACCAACCAGTTTTGTCTTACACTCTCTTTTCTGTATCTACAAATGAGCAGTACCTCATTTAGTACACACAATGATGCTTTGACATTCCATTATGGCCTGAGGAGTACATTCCCCACGGCGGTAAGGATGAAGACCCATCCCCTCTCAACTCTTCATTCCTCATCCTGTGCTCCAGCCACTTGCCTCCTAGAATTCACCTGCTGGCACACCAGGCTTGCTCTCCTCACTATGCAAAAATTTAACTAAGCCCCAAAATAAATACAAAACATGTGGGGAGATGCAGGGCTGTGACCTGAATTAGCTCATCCTGCTGAAAGATTAAAGCTGGAACCAGTTCTCAGAGACCAGGAGGGAAAGTGTATTTCAAACCTCCTGCTATTCAGCTCATTGATACTAAGGAGTTGTTGTTTGTTTGGTTGGTTTTTTTCCTTGGAAAAGAAAGAAAAAAAGGAAAATGCACAAAAATGGGGTTTCCTTGGATTCTTTCTTCTATATAAGGTACTGCTCTGGATGCTTTGCGTTTCAAATGCAAGAAGCAATTAAGCAAAAGAAGCAATTCTCTTCTAAGTCAGACACTTGGGTTTGATTTTCTGCAATAAGAGCAGCCAATCCAAATATATAACTGATTCTAAATGCTTGACTCAGTATGTAGCTGAATGCAACACGTTTCCTGACTGACGGGAAGATTAGCTGTTCTTTTCAGCTGATGCTCAGGTACTACCAGCTGGAGTACAAAGCTGCTGTTAATGTGCTGGTGACAGGAGTTATAAGAAAAGAGTTGATGACTTGCATATAAAGCCTAACAGTTTTCTGGCCCCCAAACAAACATATATCATCACAACAGATACTAGTTTGTATCCTTACTGTTTTTTATTCAAAAAAAAAAAGGAATTAATATCAAAACTTGACTATTTTTAAGCTGTAGATCTGCCCTGTCTGGGCTGGAGAAAACTAACTTTGTGGCTGCCCACAGGACACTGCACCTGTGCCAATGACAACTGGAGAAATCCTCCCTTTAAGGACATTCAGAAATTTCACCTCTGTAGTGTACAATATATTTATTAAAACTAAAGTTTAACAGAAAATAAAGCCTTATTACATATAATACTGATCAAGAAAATGCATCTTCAAAACTGCATAAATATTTGGGAGCTTGATGTAACTACTAAATTAGGAATAAACATCTCAAAAGAGAGATAACGGTTGTCCACAACAGGCTTTTTTCTCTAAACCACATTATACTAGCAATAATTGCTCTCAAGTTTGTACTTTTCTTTCTTTCGTTCTCTTGCAAAGAAGACCCGTATAAGGCATTTTTTATTCTGCCTTGAAAAGGCCATTTAGATTTTTTTTTTCATTGAAAAGTGTACATTGAGGGTTTGCCCACAGAACATAAAGAATTAAGCAAAAGCAAGCAATCACCCATGGCCAGCCACACTGAAAACCAGCAGCACCTTTTTCACTAAGGATACAACTCTGTGGCAATCTGGTTTGGGTTGGTTTGCCTGTAACCACCTGTTCTGAAAAGGCAAGAAAATCTAGAAGTTCACAGGAACACTACTACCCCTTTCCGCAGAACAACCAATAACTCGGGGTAGATCACACTCAGCAGAAGCTTCTAAGGCCAGAAATTAATTATTTTTTAATTACTTTGTCTCTTTTTCTTTTTTTGGTCCAGTTTCCTCAGACTGTACAATGATTACAGTGTGCAAGTGTCTGTGCCACTCAGTTACTCACCTACTAACTTCTGAACATGTCACCCCACTATTTCAAGACTTTCTGAAATTAGATGTTTAATTTTCTTCAAAATAAAACACTGATCAGAGATGAGCAACCTACTAGTGTGACTTCTGGGTGCCTGCATCTCAACTTCACCTATTACTAGCTATCATAAACAGGGGCACCCTCCAGAGAGGCAAATCCCTAAGAAACCAAACTTCCCTAGTTTCCCTCCTCTTGGTTTCTCTCCACTAGGATCTCTGATCTCTGGCAGGCACCAAGTTTAAAAAAAAAAGTCAGTGGGCTACAACCCAAGAGAAAGTCATTGTTTAATCTCCCTCTTGCTGAGCTGCACCACCCTAACGCCCGCGAATCCCTCAGGCAGTGCCAGTCTAGCAGGAAATGTTTTGGATGGCTTTGCATGAAAACTAGTCGTGGCAGAAGTGACCTGCTGCCAGGCCTCCTGGCCAAGCAGTCTGTGCCCACCACCACGTAGCTGTGCTTGGATCTGAACCATCCCCACTTGTCACGACCAGACCTGTCCGGGGCCGGTGGCAGGGACGGCTCCCGGCTTTGCAGGAGCATCCTCCGGGAAGGTGCAGCAAGCCCCGTGCCCAGCACACACCTCATCCTACGCGCCCATCCAAGCGAGCCTAGAAAACGGCATCACGCGATGAACCGGTCGAGTTGAAGAGGAAGTTTACAGGAGTACGTCGGGACATCTGCCTCCCCGATCAGTCATTTTTCCCCTTTGTTCGCACCAGAGCAGCGGTGCTAAATCTGGAACGGGGCTGCCGCGGAGCCACGCTCAGAGGAGGCTGGAGGTCAGCTCTGGCTGCAACTGGCTCCCAGCTGAAGGCGGGGAAGCCCGAGCGACCCTCTCCTCCCTCGGGACCCCCAGCCTCAACCTCCCTTGTGGCACAGGGGCTCCCCCCGCGGGCGCGGAGCCGGGCAGCCCTCTGCAGTGCTCGACCCCACCAAAGGCAGAAACCTCCTTGGGGGCTTGGGCTGGCAGCGCGGCGTACTCTTCCTTACCTCGTACCGCAGGGGGCTGCCGGGGGGCGGCGGCGGCGGCGGTGATGGGTCTGGGGTCGGGCGGCGGGGCGCCGCCACTGTACCGCCGGGAGATGACCCGGTCCCGCCGTGGGGGCCGGGGGGGCAGCGGGCGGCCGTCGTCGCCCAGGGCTTGCAGGAGCAGGTCGAGGAGCGCCCCCCGCTCGGCTCCGGCGGCGGGCACGTCCCTGCCCTCGGCGCCCGGCGGCGGCGGGGCCGAGGCCAGCAGCAGGAGCACGATGGCGGGCAGCGCCTGGCGTTTCTTCGCCCCTCGCATCTCTGCGGCGCTGGGAGGAGGCAGAGAGCGAAGGCGGTCAGCTCCGGGCCCGGCCCGCAGCCCCCCCGCCCGCCCCCCATGCCGCGGCCGCCCAGATTCCCGCACGCCTGCCCCGCGGGATGGCGGCGGGATGCGGGGCCCCGACGGGACCCCCAGGGCCGGCCCCGGCAGCCCGCGGGCAGCCCCCGCCGCGCTCCGCCGGCTCCCCGGTGATGGAGGAGGATTAGGGGAAGGGCATTAGCCCCCCCGCACGGAGCGCGCTGCGGGGCTTTGCGATGGATTTGCTCGACCGCCGTTGCCCCCCGGGGGTCCCGCGATGGGGGCTGCCTCCGTCCTCCGCCCTCGAAGCGGGGCGGCCCGGCACGGCTCGGCTCCGCACGGCGGCTCCCGGGAGGGAACGGACGGAAGGACAGCCGCACGGAGCTGAGTTTGTGGCGAGTCGCATCGGAAACCGCCGCGAAGCAGGGCGTAAAGGGCAAACCCAGTTGCAAGAGGCTGAGGCTCCGTAATGCCCCTAAGTAAGCTAGCCTAATTATAGCCCACGGTTAGGATTAAGGGGGAGGCAGGAGAATTCGGTTCTCCGCGAACTGCTTTATACTTGGCCTCGCTCGCAAATCCCCTTTGGGCGAAAGAGTTAATCGGAGCCGCTGGGAAGACGGCTCTCCCCGACGGCCCGGGGCCCTCTGTCCGTCCATCCATCCGTCCGTCCGTCCGCCGCCCGGCAGAGCCGCGCGAAGAGCCGGCGCTCGAGGGGCAGGGGCGCGGGGACCCCCGGCTCCAGAAGGGCCGGGACGCCCCCTCCGAAGAGGCGGCAGCTTACCTTCCTTCAAGCACGGGCAAACCCCGGCGAGCGGCCGCGGGCCGGGGCCAGACGTCCTCTGCCGTCGCCCGAGAGCCCGTGTCCCCGCCGAGGCTCCGCCGGGCGCGGAGCGGGGCGGTCGGTGCTGAGCCCGGGGAGGGGGGATGCGCCCTCCAGGGCCATGCGCTTCTCTTATATAGTCCGCACCGGCGTACTCATTCGAGTACTATCGACTTTAGGTGGGTGGCAGTCGATGGAGACACCTCTGGTAATCACTCTTGGGCTCAGAGAAGGTCTTTTCTGACAAACTTCCTCCTCCCCGTTTGTCCCCCGGTGGATGGCAACTGAAAGCTGCGTTTGAAGAGGCTCTGATCTATTTGAGAAATTAGATTTCCCCGAAGACTGGGAAACGCTTACTAATAAAGCTGCCGGCTCAAAAGATTAAAATGTGCTTTAACTTAGGGGGATTCCCTTAGGAATACAGCAGGAGAACTATTTTTTTCCCCTTCTTACTGAACAAAGAAGCCATGAGCGTGTACAGATTTGTTTCTGTTTGGACGGTGAGGGAAGTGGTAGACTCTCTTTGGTGGGTGAATTCGTAAGAGACACCTTGTGAAAGTCTGTTTCTCTCCCATTATTTTTTCTTACTTTTTGACAACTAGACTTAATGAAAAGATAGCAAAAGAAGACACTGACCTGATGAATCTCACAGGATAAAACAACTTGGATCCTAGAGCCTTAAAAAAAGTGAGCATATAATTGAAGGAGATCTCTGCTTTCAGAGAGCACTGCGTACAGGTGGTCTGGGAGTAGATTGGAAAGCAATATGCATTTTAAAATCATACCAGACAATATTTCACATTATGACAGAATTTTCAAGTGTAACTCTTCTTCAGAAAGTACCCCAATATATTTAATTAATAAGAGCAGGAGAAAATCAAAAACATTTGAAAAATCCTTGAATACATGAAAAGGGAGATTTTAGATTTGGAACAAATTTGAACTGTTTACATTTGTCTGGCAGATGATATTTCTCTACAAACTTTGTCTCTTTCCCAAAAGTCCCAAAAGGTCCTTCCTGCACTTCTCTGGTTATCTCAGGCAGAGCACACACAGGGCTGCATCTCACAGGGGCTACATCTGCACTGCTGTTGGGAAGCCAGCTTCTCACCCACCTCCTCCTATTCTTGTGCCATCTTCACTCACCTTTCAGCAGCAAAATACCGCAGAGATTGGGGATCAAACCACATTAAACTATTGAAGGGTTACAGAGGGTTATACCATTTTTTTTATTATTGTTTTTTTAAGAGGTCGGTGCGTTGCACTAGGCAAATCGGTCTAACCTGTGGATTCCCAGGGTAACAGAAGGGAAGTGGCAATCTGTCATGATTTACTGCTTCTCTCTTTATTGGGGGCATATAAGGAGTTTTTTCTGGTCAAGGTGACAGGTCAAGTGAAGAGAAAAAAGGAGAGCTGTTACAAGCTGAGAAATGAAGAAGTGTGCTTATTTAACAACTCCAAAACAAATCCCAAACCTTCTCTTCACTTGTTTGTTTTATTTTGTTCTCAGAAATGTATATTGCCACGCCAGAATGGGACTGAATTGTCCTGTAGAAATGATCAAAGCATTACCTTGACTTGGGCTCCTTTGCCCAAGTCAAAGCTCCTTCATAACTGGTCATAGATTAGGTCTTAGCACTGGAAACAGGACCCATGGAAGTCCACATGGCACTATTAAGATATTTTTATTTTTTTTATCACTTAATAAAAAAAAAAAACCAAGTCTTTATTGGGTATCTTTTCAAGGCAGGTAGCAGAATACTCACAGGAACTAAAAACAATATTGCAAAATGCAAGCAAATAACACCTCTTCCCCATGCCCACAAAAGATCTCCAAGCTGCCATAGCTGGCTATGCAATCATGATGGACAACATCCTGGAGCTGCTCATTTAGGAAAGTTTGTGAGTTCCTGAGCAAACACTGTCAAATATGTCACCTACATTCCATGTGTTTCTAAGAATCAATCCTGTTAGTGTAAGGATGTTTTTTGTTTGTTTTTAAAAAAGGATTTTAAAACTCTATACCAGAACATAGCTAGGCCTATTACTACGGTTAGCTACCCAGCTTTAGCTTTCTCCTTTTTCTCCACTGTCCCTTGCTTTCTAAAGGAGGGATCTTTTGGAAAAGCTGTCTTTCTTTCCTTGGATTGACATCTAGAGGACAATAAGCTGTTTTTTAACTAATGTTTTAAATTAAAACAAATTGACAGGGTGGGCACTTCCTTTATTACTAGTATTTAATTTTGTTTTTAGATGTTATCTTTTGTGTGTTTTCAAAAGGAATAAACAAGAGGTCAAATAAAACAAGAGAGTAGCTGTCCCTGCAGAGTAGTCTGAGAGGCAGATCTGTCAGGCCCTAAAGTTGCTGCAATGATTCCCATTCAGTGATGTGGGAGTTGGTTCTTTTCACTTTAAAGCTTGATCCAATTAGAGCCACAGCACATCTAAATCGCAAGCTTTAAGTAGCTTTTTCAGATTATTTTATTGTTTAAAGAGCCTTAAAGACTTATTAAAAACAACAGCATATTTGTTTCCTACTGTTGTGCAAAGCCTTTTTAAAATTGTCTCAATATTTGAATTCTTCAGAGAGTATTTGAAGAAATGTCAGCCAGAAAGCAACTAAAGGAAGATGACTGCTTTACTAATCCCAGGCAATTCTGGCAGGTTGAAAACCCATTCTCAGGTCACAGTCACATTGGCCCCTTTTTGTTCATAGCCCTACCATGCCTTCTCCTCATTACATGGAGAAAAAAACCTCAGCATGAGGTTTACATCAAAGAGAGCATCTTAAAACTGCACTCAGTGTCTTGCTTAGGAACTGAAAACATGTTCGTAGTAAACCCAATATAAGTCCTGTTATTTGCTTCTTTTAGCCAGTGGATTTAAACAAGTGAATCACATTTATTTCCTGTGGCATGTTCTTTTCATTTTCTGATGTGTCTTAGCCACAAGTCTATCGCTGATTGAAGTTAAAAGCAAACTAGTTAAATCAAAGAATCACAGGGCTGACAGGAACTTGGAGAGATGATCTAGTGCTTTCCATTGCCCAAGGCAGAACCAACTATACCTATGTCAACAGGGCTCAGTAGGAAACTAACCTTTATTTTTTCCCATCAAGCTCAATACTTCAGCCCAAATCCATTAAATGAACAATTGGTAAATGTTGGTTTAGTAGTTATTTTTTTTAATCTCAGGATTTATAGTGAAATATAAACATTATCTAAATGTATTCCCAAAGCACACGTTCAAATAAAAGACAAGCTAAAACAAAGATTTAAAATTTAGGTGTCTCACTGGTTCTAAATAAATCTGTCAGCCAAAGATTTCTGTGGCCACTCAGCTAAAGCACAATGAAAAACAGAGAAATCCTGGTTCTGTTGAAGTCTATGGGAATTTTCCTGTTGACTTCGTTGAGCTGGGATTTAAAGCATAGTTGTTATTAGAGGAGAGATGAGAAAGTGAAATATGACCACAAAAATATGAATGTATTAGCCAAGGCACTAATTTATAGATGCCTGCTGTAATTTCTAAGTAACAGAGGATTCAGGTTTGGTTTTAGATCACACAATTTTCTTAAAATCAGAGTATTTAAACAGCCAAATATATGTGCCTATTGAAGCTGATATAAAAATACTCTTTGTGTAGAGGACTTGATCAGATGATTGCTTGCATAAATTTGCCATTCTTTATATCTATGGATCTACAGATTTATTTTTTCCAATATTTCTGCCAGCAACTTTTAAGTCACAAGACTTGCTAATGAATTAACTGACTGTGGAAGGTCATATAGTTTAAGTAAAATAATACTGCTAAAAGAGATGTAAGAATCTGTGTGCCATATATATGATAACTGGAAACTTAATCTCTTAAATTCATGCAAAAAATGTTATAGAAATAGAGAATTGTGGTATATTCTTACTGAGTTTTAGTTAGCATGTCAGCTTTCTTGTAGTGGAAATTAAACTAGAGCTTTAAAAATGTATTCCACAAATCAATATCAGTCTTTCCACTTGAAATATAGCAGATTAGTTTTATATATAAACATATGTAACTATTTTTGACTAAAGTGTTAAATGATCTTTACCAACTTTTCCTTTAAGAAGTTCTGTGCTGAGGTCATCCCTGTCTGGGTTTTGGAGGAGTTTTGTCCAGGCAACTAAGACATATAGAGTCATTTCTGGAGGACCTTTGGCTCCCCTGTACTCTGGAAGGCTCAGCTGGAAACATGAAACAGCTTCTTAAAACTAAATCCTACAAGTTGTTCAACAGAAAGCAAAGAAGGGAGTAGGGAGAAAGAGTTTCAGTAGTGAAGGTTTTGATTGTGCCCCATCTGATTAGCTGCCTGCAGCTGGGACTGTTCAGTAGAACATGGCCTGCAGGAGAAGCTAACTACTTCAAAAGTATTGTTTAGATGTTATTTCACAAAAAAATCTACTTCTAATTTTTTCTTCCACAGGACAATTGGTATTGGGAAGTTAAGAGGAAAAAAAAAAAAGAGCATTTCTTGCCTTTAAAACTGTTCAGAAAAGATCTGCAAACCTTCCAAAGAAAAGTGGGAAGACTTTAAAACCCTGACAGATTTTTCAGGACCTCAGAGTTGGCCCTTGAGCTCCATTCTCAGTAGACAAGCAATACACAGTCCAGGCAAAGGAACCTTTTGAACTGCTTGCAGTCTTTTATACATCATTGAAATGATGTATAATTTGAAAGCAATTATCTGCATTACTGTGATTCTGAAGACTGACAGTTTATCTTAGAAAAATGTCCAATAGCTGTTTTGTTTATTGTCAGCTTCTGATTTGGCCAGAATTAAGAAGGAAACAGTAGTCCCCACAAGAGTCCTGTGGCAGGCACCTGCTCTTATGGCACCCCATCTCGAAATCAAAAATAGGTACCAAATATTCCCACTGGTTGGAGTCCCTTTCTTTTGAGCCCAGTCCTGGATTCTCAGCTGTGTTGGGTGTACCCAGAAGATAAAATCCCATTTCTAAGAACATGACAGCTTTTTACACCTGTCCTTATAACTGTTAGAATTAATCCACAGATGCAGTGAGTCAAGAATAAATTTCTTGCCTGACACTGAAGACACCTTCATCATGTGCCATTCATGACAGCAGACAGGAACTTGCTGACAGCACCAAAATAACTTTGCATGTGACATGGTTTCCTAGAAGAGCTCTGTCTGACCAATATGAGGACCATCATCTTACCAAACAGATCTATTTCCTTTCAACAAAGCAAAAACAAAACCGTGTTTTCAGAGTTTGGCAGCTAGGGCAATATCAAGCACAAGATGTTACATTCAAGTCCTGGAGTGTCTGATATAGAGGAAAAATATCAGATTTCCTCTCTAAATGAGAGACTTCAATCAGGGA